TCGGAATTATATATATACATATATATAAACTTGAATTCAAGATCAAATATTTACTCACTTAAGCTTGTGAGCAAACTTAAGATCGCTTGAATACTCAAGAGCTTAAAGTATGAGCTTAACTATTTTGAACTCGATAAATACTTGTAAGTATTTAAGATAAGTTCAAATATGAGTATTTAAGTACTCGACTTTACTTAACTCGCTAATAGCCCTAGCCACAAGAGCTAAATTGCATTGCATGCCGACCACGAGCCCAACTTCAGCTCCCTCACTCTAGTGGTGTTCGGTTATAGCAATTTCTTGGCCAAATATTTTAGGAAAGAAGTATCCCTAGAGGTTATTTTAGTGATCAAAACAGAGTATTTTACAATTACATTCATCAAGGTAACACATGCTATTTGGGTGTGTTTGGTTAGGGGAAAATTACTCCTTTTATCCAAGAAAGTTTAATGGTTCTTTAGTTGTGATACCCCAAAATTTATAGAGCATTAAAGTGTAAGTTAGGGACCTAATTATGAAGTAATATTATTAATGAACTTAATGGCAAAAATTTTCAAAGTTCAGGGGCTAAAAAGAAAGGAAATTAGGATAAGGATCAGTTGATATTTTCTCTCTTTCATCCTCAGCCACACGTGTTCAGCTTCATCTTCTCCCCGATGCTCTGCCTCCCCAAAGCCCCCCAAAGCCACCGACTCTCTCCTCCCTTGAAAACCCGGTGAGATCTTGATGAAATTCCCTTCTTTCTTGTTCAATAACAAGATTTAGGACTTAGAACACTCTCCTAAACCCAGAAATTTCCAGATCTGTACTGTCTTCTTCCCCTCTGTCCGCCAACCTCTGCTGTGTGGGGTTGAGTTCGGTTTTCTGGTAAGGGGATAGCCATGGATTCCTCTTTTTAGCTTCGATTTGGCTTGGGTTACTCTAATTTCGGTTTTTGGTTCTTGAATTTTGGTAGTTCCGTGAAATCCCCTCCAAAATCCCGTCAGCTTCCATGTTCGCTGGACCCGGCTTTTGCTTGCCGAAAAATTCTGGTAAGTTGCCGGCTCTTCCAAGTCCAATTTATCCATGTAGTTGCTGCCTTGTGTTGTTTGGATTTTCTGCTTTTGAATTGCCCTGTACTGTTTAGAAATTTTGCTGGAAATATGGAAGAATTTGGCAGCATTTTAAACATGTTTTTTAGCTTAATTCGTGTAGAAATAAACCTGTTTTTGGCTTGAAATTAGCTGCTGTTCTGTGTGAAAAATCCTACTGTTTTGCCGAAATTTACTGTTCATGCGCAGCTACTGTTCACGCAGAAAATTCTGCAAATTGCTGTTGCCTTTTGCTACATTTTTGCTACTGTTTTTCCTTTCTTTTTAGTCTGTTCTGTTCTGAAAATCTGGTGAAATATCCTTTTTCTGGTATTTTAGTTGCTATAATTGAATTATGGAAATATCAGTTACTGTTCACGCATACTGTTTATGCGCACTGTTTACACAGACTGTTCATGCATAATGTTCACAAGTACTGTTCACACATTGAATTTTAATTAATTGGAGTAGAAAATCTCATGGAATACGTTAGTTATGGCATTGGATTAATTTTAGTCCAGTAGTGATGTATTATTGATTGGGGTTTTGTTTGGTTGTTGAGAACGTGATGAGAAAATGAAAAGGGAAATGGTTATTAATTCTTGAATATTTTGATTACGTTCTTGATCGTTCTGTCAGTTAGCACTGAGATCGAGTCTGCGGTTTTATGCGAGTGAGGTAAGTAACTTATGGTAATGCCTTGGATTTAAGGTAAAGCTTTTAAAAGCAAATTTTGATGGTTTTGAAATGGTGGTGGGACTAATCCCGTTTTACACGAGTATGACTGATTTGAAGTGAAATTTTTATGCGTTTCATTAAATTGAGCATGCTACTTGAAATTTAATTGATTGTCTTGATGATTTGAAAGTGATTTGTAAATTATGATTTTTTTGTTAATTTCTGCCTGTTTTGTCTTCGATGTGGTCATGTTATTAGTGACCTTGCTAGTGGGGGTTAAGCGCTAGCACATGTCGACATGTTATTGATAGAATCGGTTTGTTCGAGTGACCCTGCTAGTGGGGTTTATACACCAGCAAATAGTGCGCCTGCCAATGGGCATAGACATTAGTAATTACTGACGCCTGCCAGTGGGTGGTTTATAACACTGGCCATGACATATAGAGGAGACGTCTATTTTGTTTCTGTACTATATCCGTTTTTTGTTATTACACTTGTTGGCATGCTATAAGTTTAATAAGGGGTACTCCATATTTTACTTACTGAGTTTATCTCATAGTTTTTCCTTGTCCAATATTTCAGGAAGCGAAACCGAGGACGAGAAAACCACCAGAAGGTTAGCCATTTCGAGATTGGTATAAATTGTAGAAATAAATCATGTTTTGTAAGATAGATTTTACCTTGAATTTATGAGATCAAAACAGATTTCAGTCATTAGATCAATTACTTGGATTTAAGTCATTTTGGATATAGAAATAAATTAAGATGTTTGATTTAAGTTATAGAGTGGTATCAGATTGTGATATGATTAAGTTTCGAGCCTTGTGCAGTCGTGGGATCCTCTCACGAGTATACGACGTTTGTTACGCCTCGATTTGGGTTTCGGGACCTGACATTAGTATTTTTATACTTCAATATTATACTAAATAAATAAAATTGACATTTTTAGTATTTTTTTTCTTTAACATAATTATCTATAAATAAGCTTTTCTCCTCACTGTTAAAATGGAAAACTTTTTCCTAACTTTTTCGTTGTGATTTGTATGAGACCCATTCAATAATTTTTTTTTTCAACTTTCTAAATACCAACTTATTACTGAATATTAAAAAGTTAACAAATCTAACAAAACTTTATTTATGTAATTTTTTTAACCATTTTCCTAAAAAATTTTCGCGACAGTGTTTTTTTAATACATTAAAAAATTAGCTGCTTAATATCACATAAATTTAAATTCTTGACCTTTTTAAATCAAAATTTTTAAGTTAATAAATATCAATTTAACTAAACTTTTCTTAGTATTTTTTTAGTATTAGCATCTAACCAAACAGACTTGAAGTTAATTAAACAGCTGAGCGAAGAGACAGACGGAGATCAATCCCTGCCACAAAGAACCAAAAGCTTTTTGTCCCCAAAATTGGCTAAATTTAACTTTTTATCTACTAATTATTATTCTATTTTCATTATAGTCTAGATAGTTTAATTTCTTTCAAATTCATTTATAAACTATGAAAATTATTTTAAATTCATCTATCTAGCAAACTTTCAATAGTTTTTTTAACGGAATTCCATAACATGATTATGTGGCACGTGACATATGCAATTTTGAAAAATTGTACTTCTTCCCTTTTTTTTTCATTTGTACATCTTAATAATGTTTCACTTTTCTCGTAAGAATTTTTTATTTTTTATTTTTTATTTTATAATAAATCCATGTCTTTTAATTTTGATCAACAACTAAAAAACCATCATTGTCATTATTATGATAAAATTATATGATTTTCTTTTAAGATTAGTGCGAATTAGCCTCAACTATTAAAAAAATTAGAGTTTCAACATATATTTAAAAATTAATTTAAAAACTAAATTCTAATTCAAAATTAAGAATAAATATTAACATTTTATAAAATAAATTTTTAAATTTTAAATGAAATTTTAATTTAATAAAATGAGGTAATTTATGGTTAAAACTTTAATTTTTTTGGGAGTCAGAACTAATATGCATTTTTTTTAATTTAGTTCAAAAAATTAATTTTTATCTGTACTCTTTCTTTCTCAAAATAAATTTTTTAATTAAAAATTTAAGGATAATTTATATTTACTTGTATTACCCTTAAAAAAATAAAAGATGAAGAAATACATTTTGTGATGGAATGATTAATTAAAGTAAATAGATAATAACAAATATATTTTTTTACTTTAATCTTATTATTATTTATTTACTTTAATTAATCATCCCATCACAAAGTGTGCTTCTTAATCTTTTATTTCTTTTTAAGGGTAATATAAGTAAATATAAATTATCCTTAAATTTTTAATTAAAAAATTTTATTTTGAGAAAGAGAGTACAGATAAAAATTATTTTTTTGAACTAAATAAAAAAAAATGCATATCAGTTCCAACTTTCAAAAAAATTAAAGTTTTAATCTTAAATTACTTCGTTTTATTTAATTAAAACTTAATTTAAAATTTAAAATTTTATTTTATTAAATGTTGATATTTAAATTTAAAAACTGATTACATTCTTAATTTTGAATTAAAATTTAAGTTTTTAAATTAATTTCTAAATATAAGTTGAATCTCTAATTTTTTTTTTTTTAGAAATCGATACTAATTCACACTAATTTTAAAAGAAAATGATATAGTTGTATCATAATAATGACAATGATGATTTTTTTATTTGTTAATCAAAGTTAAAATATATAAATTTATTACAAAATAAAAAATAAAAAAAATCTTACCAAAAAAGTGAAAACATTATTAAGATGTACAAAAGAAAAAAAAAGTACAATTTTTCAAAATTGCCTATGTCACGTGCCACATAATGAATCTGAAATGATTTTCAAAGTTTATAGATGAATTTGAAAGAAACTAAACTTTCTAAACTAAAATAAAAATGGAATAATAGTTAGTAGATGAAAAGTTAGATTTAGCCTCCCAAATTTGGTCAGAATGAAGAATGCATTATCATGAGAGATGTTTCCAAATTTCCATTTGCATTATTTAGGTTGTCTTTATTAGTTATTACAAAGAACAAAAAGCTTTTTGTTCTCAAATTTGGGACCACAACTGACCCTAATCTCGCCTCTCCACCTTCACTCCCTCCCTCGTCTTTGAAAAATCAACGATGCCCAAGTTTGGGTCTGAGGTCTTTAATCTGAATTATGTACGACTAAATCTCTAAATCCACTTTTAAAATAAGAAAGTAGGGATAGATGCATCCTTAAATAAATATAGGAATAAATTGTTTTTTCAAATCATCAATCAAGATTAATAACTCATTATTTAATGGATGTTGATATATGCATAACTTTTTTGTATTACCTTTTTATATAACTGTTTACACCATAAATTGTAAAATTTTAAATTAATGCCACGTGTAAAATTTTTATTGGCTGAAGGAGTTTGAGCCATGTCAGATTCGGATTCTGGGCCCCATGACAGATCAGCACGTGTTGGCAAGATAGGAGAGGTAAAGATAATGTTTTATGGAGTAATTATCTTCTTGAAACAGAAAGAGATAATGACAGTTGGAAAATAGGGGAAGATCACAGTTAAAAAGGGGATTTTATCTGATAAAGTACAGGTGGTGAAATTTGTAAGGAGATAAGACTATGTCAAAGGTGAGGTGTCCCACTACTCCAAAAAACCACCCATTATTGAGTAACTGCAGAAGGTGGAAGTTACAACCGGCACATGGGGAACAAAAGGGAAATTTTGGAAGGAAGAACGCATGGCCAGCCCTACTCAAACATCAGCAAATTTTCATACTTTGATTTTCTCTGCACATGCTTTCAGATTTCAGATTTCAGCACAGATTCCATTAGAATTAAGTTGTTTTTTCATCATTCCAGTAGACAAATTAATTCCTATATTCAGTTAAACAATTTCCTTTCATGCAATGAACTTCAATCCTTCAAGTTTATGCAAGGTATTGTTTTTTTTTCATTTGTAATTAATTTAATGTTTATGATAAGTAGCATTTTATTCAATGATTACTTATGTGGTGTTCATCCCTCTTTTCAACTTCAAGCATAGTAGTTTAATTACTGTTAATTAAGATGAAATCTTCAATTCTGCAGCATGTTAATTTCTAGATCCGCGAGTACATTGCATTTTAATTCAACAATGAACATGTTTAGTTTAATTTGGGTATAGCTTTTTCTCTCAAATTTACTTTAAATTGCAAGTAATTTAGAATAATTAGGATTTGTTAATTTTAAGTCACAGTAGTGTTTAAGTCCTTGGAGTTGTCCAAGGCAGATTTCGTAACCCATTCTGCAGGAAGGTATTCCTTCTTCTTGCAAATCGTCTGAAGGCGCAAATTTCATTTTAATCCAACGTTCTTCCCGCCATCTATAAAGAAGTCAACCGTGAGGAAGGAGATGGTCATTGGGAAAGTCCTCATTTCTTACTTTCAGCAAAGTAAGTGGCACGCCCGCATCCAGATTTCACACATGCGAGGCCACTAGAGGATATTTGAGGAAACAATAACTTTCATATGTTATTAAATAAGTAGATACATTTAATATCATAGATCTTAAATAAATAAAAATAATTAATTATTTAAATGACACGTAAGTTTTTATAAAACATAATACAAAAATATTATCTCTAAATTATTTTCCTTATTTACATTTAATAAGGTCATCACACATCAGTTTTCTATTAAAAATATACTTGACAAGTAATTTTTTTTACTTATGATAACATCATATTGTTTCCTCAAAAATCCTCTAGTGGCCTCGTACATGTGAAATCTGGATGCGGGCGTGCTACTTACTTTGCTGAAAGTAAGAAAGGAGGACTTTCCCAACGACCCTCTCCTTCCTCACGGTCGACCTCTTTGTAGATGGCAGGAAGAACGTTGGATTAAAGTGAAATTTGCGCCTTCAGACGATTTGCAAGAGGGATGGATACCTTCCTGCAGAATTGGTTACGAAATTTGCCTTGGACAACTCCAAGGACTTAAAACACTACCGTAACTTAAAATTAACAAATGTTAATTATTCTAAATTACCTGCAATTTAAAGGTTAAATACCTTTTTTGGTCCCTCTACTATAGGAAAAAGCCCCATTTTGGTCCCTGTACCGAAAAAAATCCATTTTTTAGTCCTTACTGTTCATAAATCCGACCTCTTTTTGGTCATTCCGTTAATTTTTGCTCCTGTGGCACGTTAACTTAACTGAAACAGCTGATGTGGATATGCCAACAGGTAAAAGATCCTTACGTGGACTCCAAGTCATCCTCCAAGTAAACTCCACGTCACCCTCCACGTGGACTCCACTTCCTCCTGTCTTTTTTTTTTTCTTTTCCTTTTTTCCTTTTACCCCCCCAAGCGAACCTAGACTACCCAGGACCTTGGGTTCGCGAGGAACCCAGGCGCCTGGGTTCATCGCGAACCCACGAGCTGGGTTCCTCACGAACCCACGAGCTGGGTTCGTCGCAGGCTACCCAGGAGCCTGGGTTCACGAGGAACCCAGCTCACGGGTTTGCAAGGAACCCAGTTTATGGGTTCACGATGAACCCAGGCACCTGGGTTCCTTGCGAACCCACGAGCTGGGTTCGTCACAAGCTACCTAGGAGCCTGGGTTCGTCGCAGCTCTTGATAAGTACGACTTCGATTCTGAGCTCGAAACCAAGGTGAGCTTTCTATTTCATTTAGTCAATTTATCGATTGATGGTATTTGCTTGGATTGAAGGTAAATTCTAAATTATGCAAATTGGGTGCTGATTTTAGTGATGATTTTAGGCAATGCTTCATGTCTATGGTTAGAGATTGAGTTGTTGAGGTGAAAGATATTTTCTTTTGAGTTGGATATGTCTTTTGTTCCAATTCTTTTTAAAATTTCAGGATGCATTCCATGGTATACAGTAATATATGAAGCATGCGACGAACCCAAGCTCGTGGGTAGCCTATGACGAACCCAGCTTGCGGGTTCGCAAAGAACCCAGGCTCCTGGGTAGCCTGGGTTCGCCTGAGGGGTAAAAGGAAAAAAAGAAAAAAAAAAAAGACCGGAGGAAGTGGAGTCCACGTGGAAGGTGACATGGAGTCCACGTAAGCATCTTTTACATGTTGGCATATCCACATCAGCTGTTTCAGTTAAGTTAACAGCAAAAATTAATGGAGGGACCAAAAAGGGGCCGGATTTATGAACAGTAAGGACTAAAAAGGGGATTTTTTCGGTACAGGGACCAAAAAAGGGCTTTTTCCTATAGTAGGGGGACCAAAAAGGGTATTTAACTCAATTTAAACTAAATTTGCGAGAAAAAGCTGTGCCCAAATTAAACTAAACATGTTCATTGTTGAATTAAAGTGCAATGCAGTGGCAGATCTAGAAATTAACATGCTGCAGAATTAAAGATTTCATCTTAATTAACAGTAAAAATTAACGTGAACAGTAATTAAACTATCATGCTTGAAGTTGAAAAGAGGTATGAACATCACATAAGTAATCATTGAATAAAATGTTACTTATCATAAACATTAAATTAATTACAAATGAAAAGAAAACAATACCTTGCATAAACTTGAAGGATTGAAGTTCATTGCCTGAAAGGAAATTGTTTAACTAAATATAGGTATTAATTTGTTTACTGGAATAATGAAAAAAAACCTAATTCTAATGGAATCTGTGCTGAAATCCGAAATCTGGAAACATGTGCAGAGAAAATCAAAGTATGAAAATTTGCAAATGTTTAAGTAGGGCTGGCCTTCTGTTCTTCCTTCCAAAATTTCCTTTTTGTTCCCCATGTGCCGGCTGTAACTTCCACTTTCTGCAGTTATCCAATCATGAGTGGTTTTTTGAAGTAGTAGGACACCTCACCTTTGACCTAGTCTTATCTCCTTACAGATTTCGCCACCTGTACTTTATCAGATAAAATCCCCTTTTTAACTGTGATCTTCCCCTATTTTTCAGCTGCCATTATCTCTTTTTGTTTCAAGAAGATAATTACTCATGAAACATTATCTTTACCTCTCCTATCTTGCCATCACATGTGCTGATCTGTCATAGGGCCCAGAATCCGAATCTGATATGACTCAAACTCCTCTAGCCAAGAAAAATTTTACACTTGGCATTAATTTAAAATTTTACAATTTATGGTGTAAATAATGCCTCCCAACACTTGTTTCATTAAGATAAATCCAAGTGTTTTAATTAAATAAATTGCCTCCCACACCACAATTACTTATGCCACATGTCAAATCCCCTTTAAAAGCAATTTCACAAATATCTTCTAGAGCAATTTTCTAGATAAACCCCAGCCACTCCTTTTCCAAATTCAATTAATTTTCAAGACCCAAAAAGTAAGGAAAAGTCAAACTTACTTTTTCTTTTATTTTTCTTTTGAGTCATTGCCGGTTGCACTCTTCTTTTTTTCTCTTTTTTTTTTATTCACCGTTGGCCCCATCTTTTGACTTTCTCCATTCTTCATAAAATCCCTTAATTTCAAAACAAATCCCAAAAATCAAGGACTTTTTGAAAATTAAAAGATTAACTTTCACTTTACCTTCATCATCTTCACGGGCCAACATAATCGACTTTCCCCTTCCATTTTACTTTGCTTTACCGCCGGCTGCACTCTTCCTTTGCTTGTCCTATTCACCAAATAGCTTCCATATTTCTACCCATCTTGTAACATTTAAGCTTCTCCCAGTCACAACCGGCCCCTTTCCTTCATTTTTTTTTTTATGCTTCCCCAGATCTACCCAAAACAGCAACCTACTTCTTTCAAATTTCCAAATCTACTGCCGGCTGCACTCTCTTCCTTTGCTTGTTCAAATCTGCTACCATACTCAGTGGTCCTTACCGAAAATCTTCCTTCCCCCACAAGTAGCTACCGGTTGAGTCTCTTTTGCTCTTTATTTACAAAAACTTGTTTTGCTCATGTCCGATGGACCCTACCGGACATCTCCCTTGTCTGTGTGATTGCCGGCTAACTCCTTTCTCTCCTTTTTTTTTTTTATGTTGTGTGTGCAGATCTGCCTGGCTTGGCTTGTGTTCGGTGGACCCAGTATCGAGCAGCCTTCCTTTGCCAAAATTATTTCCATGGCTCATGACTGACAAGAACAATCCATGCCAACCGGATCTGTTTCCATGGCTAGTTCAAAGGCCACTCATTGCTTAAAATCACCCCCACCAGATTTGGTTAAACTCTTTCAAAACCAAAATCTTCAAAATGATGTGAACCGGGTACTCCAGCAACAAAAACCATGCCATTCAAATCAAAATTTCGTACCTCATAAAAAATCTGAGATTTTGGGTCCTTATTTTGTGTCTCATCCACCAGCCTCTCTTGCCTCCATTTACCCACAGCCCAAAGAACATCTTCTCCCCTTTCAAGTAAAACCTGATTGGAGTAAATGGATTAGTTCTTTTGGAGCTTGGTCGTCTTGGCGGAAATCAGAATGGACTGATTGGATAAACCGTTTGAAACCTGCTTTTGGTCAAATTTGGAGAGATGCAGGCTTGTTTGAATTTATACAACTCACCAAATGCAGGTTCACCATGGACAAGCCGGTCTTGGGTGCGGCTTTGTTATTTTGGTCTGGCTCTTTCAATTGTTTGTGGAGCCATGTCTGTGAGCCTTTTTTATGTCAGTTCGTTAACTGGATTGCCCTGTACTGGAGAAGAAGTTTCAGCATTGTTAACCTTGCCTCCAGGTGTTAAGTACAATGTAGAGTTAAAGCCCTCTTATCCAGCCTTTGTGAGGTCTGCCTATGATAAAAGTAAGCCTGTCAGTGCTGATGAGCATATTTCCTTTCTGCTTATTTTGATTTGCAAATATATAGTCTGCTCTGCTGGTAAAGGTCCCACTAAAGAGTTTATTCTTTTAGCTGCTGCTTTAGCATATGGTAGACAAATGGCTCTGGATCCTTTTTTGCTTGCTCATTTGTACAGGAGTTGCCAAAATATCACAGCTCACCCCTTAGTCATTAGTGGTGGGCCGCTTTGGGTTTTGCAGTTGTGGTTATATTCTTATTTTCCAGCCCTTGCTCCTATCTCATCCGCTGTTCCCGCCCGAGATCTACTCACTTACGGCTTCATGTTCAAGAATGCCGTGGAGAGCAAGAGAAGCTTTGAGGAGTGCTTAAAATTTTTTGCTTCTCTTTCTATTGACAAACCCGATTCAGATTTTGCTGTGTTTCTCGGCAAATCTCACGGTCCTTCATGGTACAGGGCCGATGTCAAATCCCCAGATTTCAGAGCGTTTTGGTCTGTTTGTGTCCTGAGATTTGTTTGTTGGCTGTAGTTTGAATACTCTTAACTCCAAGTGCGGCAAGGAGCTCTATGCACCAAACCAACTCTGTCGGCAGCTAGGGTACTGCCAAGACATACCATTCCCGCCACTATTCTCCTTCAACCACAGCTATCCTCTTCGGTTTATGATTGGGGATTCAAAGATTTTGATTACCAAGCTTGCTGACATCACAAAGGCTCTGCAGACAATGATCTTGCCAAACCCTCCATTCTGACCGAGCTGCACTTCCTCCTACAGAAGTTGGTGGCGAGACTACTTCCATCCTCAGTTCCTCGGTGTTATGGACAATATTTCTGCTCTGGCTCCTCCACCACTCACCAAAAAATTTGAAGAGAAGAAAGTTGTAAAGGAGAGTGAAGACCTGGAATCTGCAATGGCCGCCCAGATCAGCCAGCCAAATCTACCAAGGAGAGCTCCCAAAGCTCAAGTCAAAAGGAAATTTGCTACTCCTGCAGATTCCACGGAAGAAGATACCCCCTCCAAGCAGCGAAGAACCGGAGGTAAATTCGCTTTGGCTTGCAACTTTGTGACATGTTTTCTGCTAACACTCACTCTTTTTTTGTTTTTTCTTTTTTTTAGGGATCAAGAGGTCAGCAATAAAACCATCTGCAGCCAAAAAACTTATCAAGTCTACCTCTCCCTCAAGGTCCTCTTTTGCCACGGAAACCGAGACGCAACCTGACAAAACAAAAGATGTTTCCCTCGGTCCTACTACCACAAAAGCTCCTGTTGAAGACATATCTGCTGAGGGTGATAAAAGCAATTTTGGCTCCTCTCGTACCAAATCTGGCGATGGTTCTTCACCCCCAACAAAGGTTAGGGGTTCTAGATTCTCTTCACACATAGCAAGCAAAAGCTTTAGAACAGTTAGACCGAATGAACTCATCGATCTAAGTCCAGACAAAGAGAATACCCCTATACCTATAGCTTCTCCTACTAGGCATGTTCATGTTGATGACATTAAGGTTGTTTTACTATTCTGAAATCTGCTTAGATCTTGAAATCTGTCACCATATCTGCCAGTTGCCATTTTTGATCTTTTGTCTTTGCATTTTATAAAGTGTTGATGCTGATGTGCCCATGATTGATGATGATTTGGAGAATGAACTCCTTGCCCAGCTGGACATGTTGATGGATACTCCGGCTAAATCTGGATCTGCCACAGATAGTAAAGGGGAGGCAGTTGCTGAAGAAGTGGATTTTGATATCAACCTCCCTACCCAAGAGCAAATTAGCTTCGCCATCATGACCTTGTAAGAGCTCCTTGATGGTGGTCCTTCTCATTTCTGCAAGGTGCCGGACCAGCCAGCCGCCTTTGAAGCAGCTCAAATCCTTAGTCGAGCTCCACAATTTTCATCAACTCAACAAAAGTTCTGGGCAGACTTCACCACCATCTATACCCATTTCAGCAGAAAATTCTGGGTGCTTGAAAGCAAGATAGCGGCTGTAGAGTCTGTGAGGAAATCTATAGCGGATAGCACTGCCGCTGTCTTCAAGAAGAAGGAAGAATTCATGGCAGCAAAGGAGGCTCATATCATGTAAATTAAACATCTCCAAGGTCTTAAAGAAGAAATCTCCAACCTTGAAGCCAAGCTTTCAGAGTTAAGGAACCAAGTTCCTCTTGCGGAGCAAACCGAGAAGAATTTGGCAGAACAAAGAAACAAGCTCCACGTGGACATGGAAACTGGTTTGAAATCTACTGCCAAGATTAAGGAGCAGCTACCTTCTTTCATAGCCTCTGCAGATGAAGCCGTTGAAGAAATAAAGAACATGAGAGAAGAATGGAGCACTTGGCAAAACAACCTTTGTTGATTTTTCTCTTATGTATCTCCTTGTCTTTTTGGTTGGTTGAAATTGCACATTGTCATGTTTGAACTTATTGTTTGCGGCCCATAGGCCATGCAAACCTCTTTTTCAATGTTGATCTCTTTCTTGGCTCATATTCTGGAAATCTGCTTCTTGTACTTTTTGTTCATACTCTGGTACAGGTTGAAATCTGTCATGGTCGAAATCTGGCCGCTGTGGTTGTTCACAGCCAGATTTGGCCTACTTACAGATTTGGCTCATCACTTTTTTATTGAATGATAAAATGCTTAAAACAATGGAATAAAATACTGTACAAATCCTACCTCAAATTTGTCTCAGGTAGAATCAATGGTATCCAAACCCCTAGCCTCCCATATCATAGGATAGTAAGGCTTAAGGTAGATTCCATTTATTTTTCGAGGATGTAATTCTCCATTTAATGATTCAAGCCAATATGCTCCTCCTCTAAGCACTTCATGTATACGAAATGATCCTTCCCAATTTGGAGACCATTTCCCAAATCTGGGGTCTTTCTTTTCAGGTGGTAGAATTACTTTCCATACCAGATCTCCTTCTGCCAAACTTTTGGATTTTACCCGTTTGTTGTATGCTCGAGCCACTTTTAATTTCTACGTTTGCAGCCTATCTAAGGCCGACAATCGCATACCTTCAAGGTCTTCTAACTCTAGAATCATTGCTTCATTATACTCTCCAAAAGTGAGACCATGTTGAATTGCTATACGCAATGATCTAGCAGATAACTCCATGGGCAGAACAACATCATGTCCATAAGTTAAGGAGAATGGAGTTACCTTAGTAGAACTCCTTTGTGAAGTTCTGTAAGCCCAAATTGTGTCAGACAACAGCTCATGCCAACACCTTAGATTATCATCAACCATTTTTTCCAGCAGATTTATCACAATTTTGTTGGAAGCTTCAGCTTGACCATTGGCTTGAGCATAATGAGGGGTTGAAGTGAGTAACCTAAATCCCATTTCTTTTGCAAATGCTTCAACTTGCGCACCAACAAAAACTGTTCCTTGATTTGAAGTTACTATTTCTAGCAAACCGAATCTGTGAATGATTTCTTCCTTAAGAAATTTAATAATATCGGTCTGATCAACCTTCTTCATTGGCTTTGCTTCCACCCACTTGGTAAAGTAATCTGTTACAACAATAATAAATGAATGTCCTCTAGTTGAAGGAGGATAAACTTTACCAATCAAACCTATGGCCCACCCTCAAAATGGCCATGATTTGACGATTGGATGGAGTTCTGACGCTGGAACTCTCTGCAGTGGTCCATGAATCTGGCAGGCTTTGCAACCTTTAGCATAACTAATGCAATCTTTCAAGATTGATGGCCAAAAGAATCCATGTTTACGAATTAGCCATCTCATCTTAATTCCAGCTTGGTGTGCACCACAGATTCCGTTATGCACATCTGACATAATCTGGCAGTACTCATCTGGACCAAGACAGTGCAAAAGTAATTCATCATGTCCCCTTCTATAAAGAACACTTTCCAACAGAACATAATTCAAGGCCTGCATTTTTGTTCTTCTTGAGGCCTTAAAATTTGGAATTTTGAGGTATGCCATGATTGAATATCGCCAATCTGTCTGGGTTATGTCTATGGAACAAGTAGAAATTGCCCTACCACGCATGTGAATAGATGGCAGAATTCGTTTTTCCACAACAACAATTCTGCTCATCACGCCTTCTAGGATTTTTAAGCCTGAGACGATTTGTGCCATCTCATTTGCCTCTGTGTTCAGATCTCGAGTAACATGCCTCAAGATTACATCATCAAATTCCTCCAAGAGCTGTACCGCCAGAGCAAAATAAGGTGCCAAAGACAGACTAGTGCACTTGTACTCACATTCTAATTGCTTCAAAATTAATTGTGAGTCACCAATTATTTCTACCATAGGTACCTTGAGCTCTACCAACACTTCCAACCCAATAATTAATGCCTCATATTCAGCTTGGTTATTAGTGCAATTGAAATCTAGCTGAAACGACATTTGGGTTTTCAAACCCGCTGGAGAAATAATAACAATTCCTGCTCTAGACATGGAATCTGTGCTAGATCCATCAAAGATAAGCTTCCAAGGAACCAGATTTATGGAAAATAAATTAATACCCTTTTCCTCATCCACTTCAACCTCCAGGCACGGATCTGCTAGGAAATCTACCAAAGCCTACCCCTTGACAGCTTTTTGAGGCATGTACTTCAGGTTGAATTCTGACAAAGCCAAAACCCATTTCCCAATTCTACCTCACAACAGTGGTCGAGACAATATGTATTTTATCACATCAGTTTTCGAAATAACATAAACCTCGGAATAAAGCAAATAATGCCTCAATTTTATTGCAACAAAAAACAAAGCAAGACATAATTTTTCGACCGAAGAATATTTCATTTCGGTCTGTGACAGACTTCGACTTAAATAATAAACAGCTTGTTCTTGCTTTTTACCATTTTCTTGAGCCAGCAGACAATCTACAGATTCATCTGTGGCAGATATGTACAAAATCAAAGGTTTGCCTCTTAAATGAGGCACTAAGACCGGTGGCTTTGATAAATAATGCTTTATTTCCTCAAAGGCAGTCTGATGGTGTCTCTCCCATTTGAAATCTGCTTCTGATTTCAACTTCAACAGTGGCGAAAAAACTCTTGTCTTTCCTGCCAGATTTGAAATAAAATGTCTCAGAAAATTCACTTGCCCAAGGAATCTTTGTAATTTCTTTTTACTTCTTGGCGGCTGTGCTTCAATAACAGCTCTTGCCTTGTTCTGATCCACTTCCAGACCTTGCTCATGCACCAGATATCCCAAAAAATTTCCAGCAGAAACGCCAAATGCACATTTTTAAGGGTTCATCTTCAGACCATGCTTTCTCATTCTTTCAAAAGCCAGCTTTAAATGCTCCAGATGTTCTTCATCTTCATTAGATTTCACAACCACATCATCAATATAAATTTCCATAAAACGACCAATCATGTCATGAAAGATGGCGTTCATGGCTCTTTGATAAGTTGCACCCGCATTTTTAAACCAAATGGCATTACTACCAATTCATACGTACCAATAGCTCCTGGGCAGCGGAAAGTGATCTTTGGAATGTCTTCTTCTGCTATAAAAATCTAGTTGTATCCACTGTGGCCATCCATGAATGACAAAATTCGGTGGCGTGCTGCACCATCCACCAATAAATCTGCAATAGGCATAGGATATTCATCTTTTGGTGTTGCCAGATTCAGATTCCTGAAGTCTACACAGATTCTCAGCTTGCCATTCTTTTTAACCATAGGAATCACATTAGATAATCATTCCACATATCTGGAAGTTCTGATGAAACCAACCTTCAACAGCCGCTCTATCTCTTCTTTGACTTTTAAAGTGACTTCTAGAGACATTCGTCTAGGCGGCTGTTTAAAAGGCTTGAAATCTGGTCTAATTGGTAATCTGTGCTCTACCAGATTTCTGTCTAGACCTAACATTTCAGAATAGTCCTAAGCAAAACAATCCTTGTACTCATGCACAATATTGATAATTTTATCATGCAAACACAACTCAAGAGAACCGCTAATAAAAGTAATTTTTGGATCTGCCTCAGTACCTAGATTTACCTCCTACAGGGGATCTTGTACTTCTGCCTTCAGATCATCAAGCTTTGCTGGTGCCAGATCTAATTCCTCTAGTGTTATCTGATCCTTCAAATCTTCCTCTTCACCTTCATAGACTACTTCAGATCTGTCTACACAGATTCGTTTTTCAACAAGGTAAGCCGCTAATTTTCTCTTGATTTCTTCCACGACCTCCTTTTTCTGGTGCTTAATTCGATCTTTCTTCATGGAATTTCTTCGATTTCAGGTTCCTCCCTCGGCCTAAAAGGAATAATTGCTGTAGGCCGAAGTAGTTCATCACACACCTCCTTCACAGTCTGTATGTCCATTGCAGATCTGGTGCAGGCAGTAATTCCAGAAGGTCTGCCATAGTGATCCATCCCAAAGAAACGGATAGTCCCAATATCTTCATCATAATAATGAGCCTCCACTGCGTTGGTATTTTCCACGAACGGCTTTTCATCTGCTGTCACAACTTCAGTTCTGCCACCATTCCAGAATATTAGTTTCTGATGCAAAGTTGAAGGAACACACCAGCTGGAATGTATCCAATCTCTCCCAAGCAATGCATTATAAGTGGCAATGGTGTCAACCACAAAGAATGCACACATGAGAGTTCTATTTCCAACGGTAAGTTCCACTGGCAGAATTCCCCTTGAGCGATTTACTCCATCAGTAAAGTCACTGATTGTCACTTTTGTCTCCATTAAATCACCCAAAGATTTGCCAATTTTGTGCAGAATACAAGTTGGCAAAACATTGACAGCTGCTCCATTATCAACCATAACTCGAATTATCGGCATACCATCCAGATGTGCATGAATGTATAATAGCCTGATATGTCTGGCCATCTTCACTTCTGGTTTTTCGAAAATGATTTTATCTGTTGAATCCACACCAACATCTTCCTTAGCTGGGATCTCGATGACTTCTTCTTCCTCAGTCAAATCTGTCTGGTGACAGATTGCAGATTCTGACTGCTCTCTTGCTTGAAAGACCAAAGGAAGAGTGATCACCAAGCAAGATAGATTCACGGAAAACTCACCAAAACAAATTACATCTGATGAATTTTCTGCTTTATCTGACAAGTCAAACTTCGCCTTCAAACCAATTTCTTCATTGGATTCCACAGCCAGAATTCGAGGTGATGTTGGACTTCTGGGTGATTTCTCCTTTTCTGGAGAATTTTGACCAGATGTGCTCCCTTTTTCTTTACGGACCCACACTGATTTTCTTCTTGCGGGGAGCTGCTGGGCTTGATCTGCCATGCCCCCCGAGTCTGTAATCTGCTGTCGGTGTCTTTCTGCAACCTTTTTGCATTGTAAACGCCTCATCAAGGTCCTTGGATTTTGACCGTTAGGAAATTTTGGATGCACCACACGTTCCCACCGTTTGGTTGAAGATCTGGGTGGTGGCTTCACCATTCTGGGCTTTTCTACGCGTCTAGATATCGCAGGTCCCTGATTTGCATTATTTTTCTGTTGAGTTGAGTCATTCCCCCCGAGCTGTCTCTTTCGGTATGAGCCTGATCTGACTTGATTTTTGTGGGCCCTAGCCTCCTCAATGACCCACCTCAGATCATTAGTTGCAATTCTGTGCCTATAGTATGTCTGAGTTCTGTCTCTGGCAATACTCCTGAGATCTGTCGCGTTCACCCTAACAGACATGGTAGGGAATGGATCTGCATCAACTCCCATTGTTTCTTTGGCCTTATCTGGAAAACGCAAAATTCCCTTGTCCATTTTATCCTGTAAAACATTCCGAAAAATCACACAATCATTAGTGGAATGTTTCCAAGAAGTGTGATATTTGCAATATTCTCTACTTCCAATTTCGCCAGTTATTGGGATTTTATGTCCCGGCGGCAACTTAATTAGACAACTCTTTTTAAGGCAGTCAAAAATTTCATTAGTTTTTGAAATGTCAAAGGTGTATTGTTTTCCAGCCTCTCCGACATAACGTTTTACTGTTCTGTTGGTCTGCTAGGCCACTTTAACCAAATCTGGGCAAATAACTGACTTGTCTACCACCACTTCTGCCACGTCCAGATCAAAGTTAGCATCACCATAATAAGTCCCATGAGATGTAGATTTCCTTTGTGTGTCCTCTCGCAATAAATTTTCATAACGAGCCACCTTGTAAGACAACTCAAAGAAATCATGAAACTCCATTCCCTTAAACTTTTTCCTCAATTCAATGTCCAAACCATTTTGTGCCAGCTTAACAAATTCCTATTCTGGCAGGGCAACTCTGCACTTAAGTCTGGCCTTCCGAAATCTGGCCAGAAAGGCCTTAGATGTTTCTCTAGGTCGCTGCACCAAACGAGATAAATCTGCCATGGACACTTCTGGCTCACTGCGATAGAACTGGATGTGAAAAAGATCTTCCATCTGCCTCCAAGTATAAACTGAATTCTGTGGCAGACTCAGATACCAGGTGAGAGCTGTACTAGTTAGAAAGCTGGGAAAAAGTCTGAGCTTCAGATTATCATCACCGGAGGCCTCGCCACATTGAATTGTGAAGCGGCCTATGTGTTCAATTGTTGAATATCCACCATCTCCAAAAAATAGAGTGAATTCTGGAACCTTGAACCCCCTTGGAAAAGGATTCTCTTGGTCTATGAAATTTGGATATGGTTTTCTGTAAGCAGGTCTGACAAGAGACCTCAAAACTGGACCATAAGCCTCCTGCACCATGTCGATGATTTGATCACGATTGATGTAATGTCCTGGCAGATTTGGAAGATTTTGCTACATGGGTGGCACATAAGGCTGGAAATGCTCCCTTTGTGGAGGTGCATTATGTTGTTGATGTCCTCCATTTGGTCGGTGCAGAGGTGGCAGATATCTAGGATGCTGGTGATTTCCCAGTTCTGCTGCACGTGGTGCTGCCTCAACAGGATCTGGTTGCACTGGTCCGCCTGCTACTTGCTGAATCTGGGGAGGTGGCTATGGCAGATTAACTTGCCCCCCGAGTGCTGGAGCTGGAATATTCTGATTCTGCCTTTGAAGATCTGCTGCTTGTGGCTGAGGCTCAATTCTGACACGTCGAAATGCCTCCTGCATTCGTTCTGTTTCAGCTTGGAAAGCTCTCCAATTTTCTGCATTTTGCTCACGCCAGATTCTGTTACTTTCTTCATTGGATCGCCGCATGTCGGCTACACTTTGGGCTACACTTTGGGCCAAATTCTGAGCCAGATTCTGAAAAGACTCATCCAACTATCTAGCAACCTCTTGGCTTCTTTGTCAAGCTTTCTCCTCAGATTCCAACAGTGTGTGCCTCATGATGCTAATTTGATCTAACACAGCTTTCACAAGGGAATCCCCAGATTGAGCAACATCATCTCCAGATTCACTATCCTTGTTGAAGGTAGGATTGACAAAAGAATGCTCCCCAAGTATTGGTGACAGTGGATGTGGAATGATTGGCTCATTCTCTCCTTCTGAGTGTGCTGAAATGCCATCACCAAGCCCAATCTGTAAAGTCTGGACAACCTTCCCAACGTTTCTTTTTGGTGGCATGATTGCACTTTTTCTTGGAAAAAAGAACAATGGATCTGAAAATTGTAAGTAAGACACGATGATGTCCCACTGGGTGTGCCAAAAAAGGATTGTTTCCTCAAAAATCCTCTAGTGGCCTCGCACGTGTGAAATCTGGATGCGGGCGTGCCACTTACTTTGCTGAAAGTAAGAAATGAGGACTTTCCCAACGACCCTCTCCTTCCTCACGGTCGACCTCTTTGTAGATCGTGGGAAGAACGTTGGATTAAAGTGAAATTTGCGCCTTCAGACGATTTGCAAGAGGGAGGGATACCTTCCTGCAGAATGGGTTACGAAATCTGCCTTTGACAACTCCAAGGACTTAAAACACTACCGTGACTTAAAATTAACAAATCCTAATTATTCTAAATTACCTGTAATTTAAACTAAATTTGCGAGAAAAAGCTGTGCCCAAATTAAACTAAACATGTTCATTGTTGAATTAAAGTGCAATGTACTGGCAGATCTAGAAATTAACATGCTGCAAAATTAAAGATTTCATCTTAATTAACAGTAAAAATTAACATGAACAGTAATTAAACTACCATGCTTGAAGTTGAAAAGAGGTATGAACACCACATAAGTAATCATTGAATAAAATGCTACTTATCATAAACATTAAATTAATTACAAATGAAAAGAAAACAATACCTTACATAAACTTGAAGGATTGAAGTTCATTGCATGAAAGGAAATTGTTTAATTGAATATAGGAATTAATTTGTTTACTGGAATGATGAAAAACAACCTAATTCTAATGGAATCTGTGTTGAAATCCGGAATCTGTGCTGAAATCCGAAATCTGGAAGCATGTGTAGAAAAAATCAAAGTATGAAAATTTGCAAATGTTTGAGTAGGGCTGGCCGTCTGTTCTTCCTTCCAAAATTTCCTTTTTGTTCCCCATTTGCCGGCTGTAACTTCCACTTTTTGCAGTTACCCAATCATGGGTGGTTTTTTGAAATAGTGGGACACCTCACCTTTGACCTAGTCTTATCTCCTTACAGATTTCGCCACCTGTACTTTATCAGATAAAATCCCTTTTTTAACTGTGATATTCCCCTATTTTCCAGCTGCCATTATCTCTTTCTGTTTCAAGAAGATAATTACTCCATAAAACATTATCTTTACCTCTCCTATCTTGCCATCACATGTGCTGATCTGTCATGGGGCCCAGAATCCGAATCTGACATGGCTCAAACTCCTCCGGCCAATAAAAATTTTACACGTAGCATTAATTTAAAATTTTGCAATTTATGGTGTAAACACATATATTAAATAATAAGTAATTTGTTTTAATTATAATATAAAAGGACAATTTTTTTTTTTAAGGCAAAACTGTCCCTTAGATTCCAATTTAAGAGAGATTTGGAGATTCTGCCAATTATGGACAAGGAGGTAGAAACGTCATTTTAAAAATCAAAGACAATACAAATTGAATTTTGGATCCCATTCTTGCTGTTGCAAATTCTAACAAATAGATTAAAAAGGGAAAAAGAATTGTTCGCCCATACTAGTTGGTTAGTACCCTTGGCCAGCCAACACAAAAAAATGTGGTCATGACCGTAGGGGACTCCACTGCTGCACAGATTAAACAATGGAGTTTCCTGAAAATATTTTGCAAACTACTTTTAATCTGAGAACTAATTACAATAAGAAGGAAACTCAAAGACTAGTCGTGACAATCGGAATTGTAATACTGATTTTGTGATCGATGAAGTGAGATTTTGTGAAAATCGAAAACTAAACCAACTCTTCTGACCAGAATTAATATGGAATAACTGTCTGTTATTTTAAAACCAGGCTGCATGATGGAATGCACCATATCATGAGCTCTTGGGAAAACATAGGGAAAATCAACAAAAACAGGGTACACTGTAGCAGAGAACAACTAGGTAATAGCTTAATCGTCAGATCCTCTACAACCGTAAAGGAGAAATAGCTCAAGCATAAAAGATCTCTAAAACAAAGATAAAAGGCCTGACCAGTGCAGCCACTTTCTTCTAAGCCAATCAAGGCTTACATCATTTTACTATGCATATCTTGATAACAGAGGCAGCACCAATGCGATGAAGAGCCACAACAGCATCACCAGGCTTGCACAACCCTCTCTCTGTTGCTGACTTCATAGCAGCTTCTAGGATTACCTCAGTAGATTCTGCATCAGTAGCCTTTGCTGATCCTTCTGCCAGGATGGGAATCAAGCCCCTATGAATCAAACTATGCCTAGCTGGCCTCTCATCACTGCAGCTCCAGTCAAATGAATCAGTTGTCAAGACAGGTACCACCACCGATAGGATAGGCACAGCAGGTCTGTACTTGGCCACCAACTTGGCTGTTGTCCCACCACGTGTAAGCACAACAATGAGTTTTGCTTTAGCTTTATTAGCAGTTCGTACAGCAGAGGATGCAAGACTTTCCAATGGGCTCATTGGAAGTGGAGTTGATCTTATCATCTCTTTAAATATAGCCCCATAATCAAGAGAGGATTCTGCTTCGATACAAATTCGAGCCATGATCTTCACAGCAAGCTCTGGATAAGCCCCAGCTGCACTCTCACCACTGAGCATGACACAATCAGTTCCATCAAGGACAGCATTAGCCACATCCGTAGCCTCAGCACGTGTTGGTCTGGGGGACTTGATCATGGATTCAAGCATTTGAGTGGCAGTAACTACAGGCTTGCCTGCAAGATTACACTTGTATATCATCATCTTTTGTGCCAGGAAAATCTTCTCAACTGGAATCTCCATTCCAAGATCACCACGGGCAACCATGAAGGCGTCAGTCTCACGCAAGATCTCATCAAAGTTGATGACTCCCTCTTGGTTCTCAACCTGAAAGAATCAAAATAGTTAATCCTCCCTAGTAACAAACACACAAGTATCAAAAGTGACATGTACCAGTAGAATAGTCATATATGAAGGAACAGACAGAAAGTTGGCAATTATTCTCATGGAACACAAATTCAAAGATACAATGTTATGAAAGGGTTTGCATGCATGCATATCTGGGTAACTGCACCACATCCTAGGCACAATTACAAATGCAGATGTACATCTACTTCAAGAAACAAAAGCTTGCACACGTGCACAAAGGGAGAGGGGGAAAGAAAGCACACGAGCAAGCCACAAAACCAATACTCAACGCAGATCAGCTTGAGGGATTAAAACTGTAATTGTGGAAAACAAAAAAGGCTTCAGGTTCTACTCATAAGGACACATGCATCACCCAAATCCTAGTTCTTCTTTTGACAAGTAAAATTTTTCATAAATAACGTTAAAATGAAAATTAGAAGCTACAAAGCCATTAATTCTATTATACTTGCACCTAACCCTAGCAATTATGGTTGCTTGAGCTTCTATATTTTCCATAAGAATAAAAGGAAGGATGGAAATCCACCTTTCAAATGATGATAAATGGTAGCAGCAACAACTGGAACAACAATCTTCATGGACACCATCATCTTAACAGAAAAGAGTGTTAATTGATTTCTACTATAGTTGCAGCTAACCCACAGAATGTATGTCTAATAGAGCACTCTGAAATTTCATACAAAGAAAAGAGAGCCCCCTCCTACATTTTGCTCACTAATAACAGCAGCAGCAGCACCACCACCAACAACAATCAACATAACTACTACGCATGTCCTCTTAATTATTTTCCAACAAACAATTAGTCAGTAACACACTCCTCATGCAAGAAAAGCAAAAATAATCATGCAGTTAAGACCCAAATTTCTCTGTTCAATGTTTCTTGGCTGATTCATATCCTTTATCACTCCTCTCAACATTTTAACAGAGAAAACTAACATCATTTCATGATAATCCTTTTTCTACACTTCCATCATCCATACCTCTTCCTCAAAACCACAGGTTTCTGTAATGGTCACCTCACTTTGACTTTATTCCAATTCCCAGCACATAATATTTTTCTAAACTCTAAAACTTTCCTAGGTCTAAAACCTAACCTCCCATCCAAGAAACTCCATGTTAAATTTTGCATAATAGAACATGTAAAAACATCATATGCAAATATAAATTCAAATGTCAGGCCATTTATATAAAGGTCATCAAAAGGAGGAAAAAGGGAAAAGTAAAATAAAATCAACACAGATATTGTGAAAGGTATAAGGATCTATCCAAAAAGAAGAAAGTTTGAGGGAAAGAAAGAAATGACTTTTAAGGGAGGGTTTCACAAAGAGAAAAATAAAACACCCATACAAGAATGCAACTTTTAGTGGCCTAAAGTCTGCATTTGGAAAATAAGGACGGCCAGACCTCCTAACAATTGAGCAGGTGGGTTGGTAGGACTCATCATTACCAAAAAACAAAGACTGCCTGAACAACAAAAAGGGAGCAGTATACCTTTGACATTAATTTTATCTGCTTTGCATGTGGCCCAAGGACATTACGAACATTAACAAGATCTGAGCCTTTGCGTACAAACGAAAGAGCAATCATATCAATGTTGTTGGGAACTCCCCAACCTAAGATGTCTTCCTTATCCTTTTCAGTAAGTGTGGGAAGATCCACTACAATACCAGGGAGATTGACATTCTTTCTCTCACCAAGCATTGCAGTGTTTTCACAGCGACATCTCACAGTTCCAGTGGCAGGATCACAAGACAACACGGTAAGGGTGATTGTGCCATCTGCACATAAGATGGTATTTCCAGGTTTCAGATCCACAGCCAACTTTTTGTAGCTCATGGTGATCATATCCTCAGTGCCCTTGACTTCATAATCAGTAGTCACAGTGATTTCTCGGCCTTCCTTAAGTTGAATAGGTTTCCCATCCTTGAGGAAACCAGTTCGAATCTCAGGTCCCTACAAGACAATGCAGAATATAAAGAAGAGTTAAAAAAAACTTTAGTAGCATTGGCACCATGCATACTCAAGGTTAAACAAAGGGAGGGTATGGAAAAGTAGGAATGGCAAATCCATTCTTAACACTTATTTTCTTCCAATAAGCTGAAATAGGATGGAAATGGCTACTGCCATCTTAACTCTTACTAGAAGAGAGAAAATAAGTACGAATGTGCAATATCCATCCATACTTTTCCATGTGCTATCACTAGCCTTATTCTCATGCCAAAACTATGGAATAGCTCTTCCCTTGAACCAACCATGACCTCAAATGTGTAAGAAATCAACAACAAATCTAACAAAAAAGCCAAGACAAAGAAGCCAATTAAATGCATTCAAAAGTGCCACAACTCTAAAATAAAAAAATAAGGAAAAAAAAAGAAAAAGAAAAGAAAAGAACTCCTCGAATCTTCATACACATTACTGTCTCCAAAGGAAAAAGGGCAGCTAACTCTTCCTCCATTGCTCTCTCTCACATTTGTACTTTAAACCACAATATCTTATGCGTTTGATTAGTTTTCACTTTTAAAGTTTCACAAATAATACACTCAAGCAACAATATTATGTTGCAGACATAGAAAGCTTCTGGGATAATTCAAGTTACAAATCTTCAGCAAAATTTTATCATAATTTCCTGCATGCTGCGATGATTTTATAATTCTCGTACTTTGATGGTTAAGCTAAATTAAATTCAATTTCCAAAATATTAATTACTTCAAAACTCTAAAAAAATTTACAAGAAACCATCTATCATGCATTTATGATAAGCATTCGGGCATGATTTGAATTAGAAAGTTCATATATTTACCCCCCAGTATCCAAACTCTCAAAAATTCTTAGACTTCCACAGAAGCAGGAATTTAACAAGAATAAAAGGCAATGAGGAGCCTCCATGTTTAACAGTTCAGATGTTGTCCAAGGATCACGTTCAGATATGGGAAAGATAATTTTTGTGAATATTGCTTTGCTATAATGCTTGCAACCTCAACACTAAAAGCATAAGCATCATGTTACTTGAAAGGAAAAGGTCTCAAAATTGAACACCAAGTTGAGTCTCTGCCTTTATTAAGTCATCCATACCCATATGAGGTGCCTCTAAGGCAAACCCTGAGGCAAACAGATCATTGTTAAGCTTTAACATACCTCACTGAGCTACACTTAGATCAGAAGAAGATGAGTGCCATCTATGTGAAGATCCAGCCAAATCACACACCAACCAGAAGCTAGCGAGTGTAAGTTTGAAAAAGCAAAAAAAAAGGAAACCATGTAGAGCTCTGTAGCCCAAGGAGACAACACCTTTGGGGAGGTCAGAAAACTTCATATCAAGTAGAAAGTACAAAAATTATATGTGTTTAATACTCTTAGAAAGAAAATGTTAGCGAAAACTAGATTTCAATCCTAAGAAGTACGAATCAGAAAGCCACCAAGACAGTTAGGAAAACAAAAAAATCCTAAGAAATATGGTACTAGAATTGACCTTGGTATCGAGCATGACGGCACAGAGTATGCCGGTGTTCTGCATAGCTATTTTGAGATTGTTCAATGTCTCCTGATGATACTCATGTGTACCGTGAGAGAAATTGAAGCGGGCAACATTCATCCCAGCCCTCAGCAACTTCTCGAGCATAGGCACCGCACGCGATGCCGGTCCCAGAGTGCAAACAATCTTGGTCTTAGGAACCCGGCCATCGTTAGGAAGCTCCTTCAAGATTCCATCAATATCTATATTCGCCATTTGCTCTCTTCCCACTCAAACGCACCTGAAATCATCCAGCAAAGTCAATCCACAAATCAAATCATCTCCACAATTTTTTCCAACAAAAAAATTGTAGTAAAACACAAAAAATTAAACAGTTATTCAGAGGGAAAAACAGAGAGCGAAGAATAGATCTGAAGATCCATTTGATAAACGAAGAAATTAACAAAAAAAAAAAAAAAAAAAGAAAGAAAAGAAGGAGAAATGGAGTTACGGAAATGAAAAATCTAAGTAGAATAGCTCTGACGCCAGAGAGCTATCAGATCGTAAAAACCAGTACCGATAAAAATCTAAGGACGAAGAAGAAGAAGAAGAAGAAGAAGAAGAAGAAAAAGAAGGTGAAGATCCGAAGCCTCTCTTTGGAATTTCAGCGGCTGTAGCACACTGACTGGTATTCAGGGTTCAGCGTGCTTTGCTTTTTTAGCAGACGGAAAGTGGTTTTGCAGTGCGTTGTGGTTGAAAGATACACGTGGGCGGAGATGAGCGAAAGATGGGAGATGCTTAGTGGCGTGTAGAGAAAATACCACATCTGGGCCGTAGAAAAGAAAAAAATCTAAGGGTAATCGGACGATGATTATTGATTATAAAAGTAGTAAGTATGGTAAGTGACGAGAGAAAGCACGTGACGCGACTCAACGCATATGAATCAAAAATATGGGGCCGTGGGCGACGTTATTTTTTTTCTTTAAAAAAAAAAAAAAACATTTGTTTTATTTTCAAGGTGTCTGTCGGTTGTACTCTATGTGGGCCGCAACCTTTATTTTACCGTCTGCCGGCGCCACCAGACTTCACTAGATAGACTAACAATTTCCCCTTTTTTCATTTTATTTTTTATAGGCCTTTTTTACCCTTTTATTTTTTGGTTAAACCCCCCATTTTAGTCCCTCAACTATTATAGGGACCCCTGACTTAGTCCCTTAACTCAAAAAATTTCTAATTTGATCTCTACTATTTACTATTTTTACCCCAATTCAGTCCCTCTGTTAAAAATCCAATGACGTGTCCCGTTAATTAATTGGAGCATGATAACGTGTCCAAATAACTTGACACATCAAATGCACACCTGAAAAAAAATGACAACACGATAAAAAATGATGACATGAAAAAAAATATATATATTAAAAAACTTAAAAAATTCTTTCTTTTTCTTT